TTGAATTAACGTTATCATTATTATTTCTGCTTTGATAATTATTCATTTCAAATAATGGTGGACGAGCGGGTTTGATGTCGTCGAGTGAAACTACATTTTTATCAAAACTCGTTGCTCCGATCGACTTTCCACACGAGTACTTTTATTCATAAAATTGTCCAAGTAACCTTAATTTGTTGAAAAATATTGAAAAGTATCTGACATTTCAAAGTTTTGGGGTGTGGACCATCGGGGGTAGTCCGTTCCTGACTTTGTAGCAAAACAACTGACTCCTGCATGAAAGCTCATCGAAGAAATTCATTTGTTTAGTCAATTACCAAAATTTGGATGATTTTGAATATTCACCTGAAAAGTTATCAAAGAAAAACATTTTTCATTTTGTAACTTCGAGGGCCCGTTACTTGGTAACGAAGGATTTTAGGAAAAAAAGTTATATGAAGTACTGGTGATATTTTGACCCTATCTATACATTCCCGAGATGAAAAGAGGAAGTCCAGGGACACCCTGTATATGTGGTGGCACCATAATGTCATATTTTTCCTCATGAAACGCCCTATATTTAATTGTATTTACAGAATACTAGCAAGCCGCCCCGGCTTCACAAGGGTGCAACGCTGATATCAAATATACTAGAGGATGTCTTCATAAACTAAGTTGTGAGTGGATAATACAAACATGTTTCTTTAGAGGTTACTCTTGAAAGAGCAAGATACAATTGGCCCGGTACCGCCGCCACCGCTTGGTACCTGCATTTTGAATGTGCAATGTCTTCGAAAATATTCAATTGTAAATACATGCTCTGAGCGGCCATATTATAGTCAGCCGCGGCTGGCGTTTTACTCAGAATATCGAAAAATCATTTTTTATTGCACACTTTTTTTCATTGAGGCCCAAACCATTTCAATTGGATTGAACACACATTGTGTTTCACACGTGGTCATATTCTCTTACGTTTTTTTTCTTTTTTGAAATTACGTTGTTTCATGGTCGCCAGTAATACCTTTTTCGTTGGAATCTTTTCGGGCATTTCCATGTCATTATTTCGCATGAAATCAACAGTATCTGCTTTTTTGTGTTATTGTTTGGTATTGTATTCAATAACCGAGAATGATACGAAGCGTTATCCATAACTATAATCGAGTTTGGAGGAATATTTGGGAGAAGCTGCTCACTGAACCAGGTTTCGAATAAAGTCGCAGTCTATATCTTCGTGGTTATCGATATTATACCGGTCGTCCAAATTCCAATAGTGAACCACATGAGGGAACGGGACCTTGCACACATACCTACCGGTGATCGACGCCGATCACCGGTCGGCGTGTGTGCCAGGTCCCGTACCCACATGTGGTTCACTATTGGAATTTGGACGACCGGTATAAAATCGGCCGTCCAAGTCTCTGTATATAAATCTGTTGGGGATATAGTATAGTGCGTTTACGGCGGCCCTTACGCTCGCGTTCATAAACAACTGTATCTTCTTCCTGTATGTCTGTGCGCACTGGCCCCAGGTAGTGCAGGCATACAGTATTATGGGCATGAGAACTTTATTTTCAACCCCATGTTGCTTCTGCGTCCTATGATAGGTACCAGGCGTTGTCTGGCGTGTCTAGCCAGAAGTTCAAAACATATCCATTAACTGTTTAACGTATTGATGGCTCACGTTGTGGTCTGGATGATTCGTATAATAAATTCTTGCAGGAGCTTTAGCACATTCATTATTTCGATAATAGGTTACAAACATTTTTATTTTTTCTTCAGTACAATAAACCATGTTGGAACACAGTGAACAAGGGTGACTGAATAATAATTCGTGACGAAGTGACAATGGCCAACTATCTACTTTTTTTTGCGACAACTAGATTCAACAGAAAAAACTAACCGTGTCGTCCATTTTAAAACGTTTACTACTAATTATATTAATTTTAAAAATCAAAAAGAGCTGCGACAGGGAATTGTTCGGGAATGCCCATTTCTTCAAAAATGTAAGGAATGCTTTAGAAACGTTCAACATTTAATTTCTCAATAACTAATAAACCAATTTCGAAAAAAATTACAGAAGTAATAGAGGGACGAAAGAACTTTCAAATGATGAATCACTCTACTCCTCATGCTATTGAAAAAATCGGGGGGGTTAGTGGCTGACCGCAGAGGGGTCAAGTTTCGGGTATGATTTCCATATCAGAATAAGTCTCCCTAGAAATGAAAATCGACTAGTTCTTTAAAATTTTCGATTACACGTCTTTTTCTGACTTACAGAGGGGGTTAAGTTTTCGTTGGAGCCCTGTATATGTTCTGTACACATTCAAAAAACTTGTTTATTGAAATGGGATGCATTTTTGCTGTTCTCAGGTATGAATAATTTTGATTTAATCAGTGGGTGTCTGTGAAAATGTCTGGTTTTTCAGAAATATTCAGTTGAATATCATCCGGCTCTAGAACAAATACTGAATATCATCCCTTGCAGGTAATTTTGGAGTTATGCATTGTTCCAAATATCGGATTTATAGCAAATCTCTAAAGTTCATTTATATCCTAATTTTCATATTCCTTAGATAATGAGGTAGTAACAAAGAAATATGTTAATCTTACGAATGTATTTCTTATAAGGCAAAAGAAATTTCGGTACTTGTATCTTTCATTCTGCTCAGTGAGTTACTCAAGTGAATCAAAATGCATTACTTATTTTCTCTGTCAGAATTTGTGATGTTGCTTCTTCTAATCATAATTTACGAATGTATTTCTTATAAGGGAAAAGAAATTTCGTTACTTGTATCTTTCATTCTGCTCAGTGAGTTACTCAAGTGAATCAAAATGCATTACTTATTTTCTCTGTCAGAATTTGTGATGTTGCTTCTTCTAATCATAATGATACACACACTTCTCAACTGTTACTCACACTCAGAGGGCATATTCATACAAAAGGAAGTAGAATCTACTCTACGGTCAGTCAGGGATCGATGGCTTCAAAACATATTGAGAGGTAAGTGTACATATTTTTCGAAACACTTGAATACTAAGTGCATCAACAAAAAAATTATTTGATTTTTTTCATTCTTTCACTACAACTGAGAAAGATTAACACTTTTTTTTTCTCTACAAGAGAAGCACTTTTTCCAATCACCAAAAATGCAATAGTTTTTTCGACGCGCGTTCCAGTATATGATGGCGTTTTCAGAATATGATGAAAACTAATTCCTGTCTACCGGCATAGATTTTTGCCAAGATCATATGCAGAAATAACTTCAGTGAAGAATCCTGCACTGACACCTGTCGGATATAATCTGTAATAACTTCCATTGCGATAGTAACGTTAAAATATTATTTTATTCATAGAATGAGCTTTTTTCCTGAGAATAGTACAGCAAACGTGTCACGAGACGCAGCACTAGAAGTAGGGACAAACAATAAACTATTCACATGTAAAACAGTGTTATTAACGTAATATTAATTTATTATCAAAAATAAAAATCTGATATAAAAAATTATTTTGTGCCAGTATAATGCCAACAAAGCATTGCTGTTCTGCGAGAGGCAGCACTAGTAGTAGGGACAAACAATAAACTATTCACATGTAAAACAGTGTTATCAACGTAATATTAATTTATTATCAAAAATAAAAATCTGTTATAAAAAATTATTTTGTGCCAGTATAATGCCAACAAAGCATTGCTGTTCTACGAATTGTACGACTGATAATTGATATTCGGTAGAAAACGTGATTTTATACCATTTATAAAACCTCATAATAATGAGGTTAGATGTGAGAAATTGATACATGCTTCGAGGAGAGTGGATTTAACAGTCCAAAAAATAAATAAATATTTATATGTATGCTCTTAACATGAAATGAATAGTAAATTTTTCATAGTTAATTACCATTGATTAGAATGATATATAACATCAATCGTTCATTGAATTATATTCATTGTATTTAATAGAATTTATTTCATTACCATCTATATTTGATTCATATTTCACTCGGAAGTAAGTCTGAAATCCATAATTATTTTAAATTTCTTTTACTACAGTTTGACTCTACCGCTACTCGTTTACTAGAGTCTGTATACTAACATGTCTATTATTTCACTTTTTTTCCAGTTACTTTTAAATTACGGCATGCAAGCCAACGTTTCATTGTTACAACATTGTTGCAAATTTTAGTTTTGCTCCAAGAACATTTTCTTCTGTTAAAAACATTCTTTTTTAATTGTACTTTACCATATGTTTATATGAGGAATAGACAGTGTTTGTCCCTATCGAACTACTAGCGCTGCTAGTGAGTGATTTTTTGTACTTCAGGAAAATGGTTCATTCGAGGTCGATCACCCGGTTCTTCTTCGGTGTCGATATTTCCTAGATGAAAAATCAACTAATTCATGACTGTCGTACCTTTGAACGTCATTGTCGTCATGTACAAATTGGCTAGAGTAAACAAATGTATATATTACATCCTGTCGATGATCATACGCTTAGGAAAGTAAGTTAAAAACGCTGAGATGAGGTTTTTATGGCTAGCGTTGCTAACACGAGGGCTTGTGAGTTTTTGCGACAGGCACAAAAAGTCGGTCACCGGAGTCCCTCGAGACGAGTTCGGCCTTCGAGGCTATGGAAGGTGGCCTAAATAGGGGAGGGAGTTATTTTGTTTCTTAGCGCGTGCTGCGAAATTTAAGGAAAATCGCTAATGAAATCGTAAGCCGATATTATGTACAGGGAAGGTGAAACTAAAAGTGTTTTGAAAGCACACCGGGTCAACGGAACCCATAGTTGACAATGAACCACCAAAGAGGCGTTATGTGAGTGTTTGTTTTTTAGTAACCTATTGATAGTGAGAGCTAGTTCACATGTTATTTTGTCTGAGTTCACTTCCTATTTGCAAAGAGGTTGAGTGTTGTTGAGTTGTTTAGCTAGAGTTCATATTACAATTACAAAAAAGGGCGCAAATGTAAAGTTATACACCACTCTCCCTGAAGTAAAAGTAAAACTGAAAGTATTTTACGTTTGTAGTTGTTTAATGGGTTAAATCAATAGTAAACAGCACAGTTAAGTTGGCGGCATAATATTTGTCTTATTTTCTGTAATTTCATAGAATTCAACTTTTTTTTATGTAAGATTTTACACGTTGTTTTGCTCATTATACTTTATTTTTGAAATCATTCATAAAATAAAAATCATTGATAAGATATGAATTGAGAGTTTCAAAGTTAGGAATCAGTTTTCTTCAGGAGGTGAACCTCCTGAAGATGTCAACTTGCTTGGTGAAACTCGAGTCGAGAAATGTATTGATTTCTGGTGATTGGGAAAGGACTTGTTTTGGATTTATAATACGCCAGAGGTGCCAGTTTCATTTTCCTATTGTTGTGGTATCATTTGTAATTTCAACTCACTATTCATAAATTTGATACGAAACAAGCCAATGAAAATCATATTATAATTAACATTATAGAGACCATATGAATATCTGAATGAACCGTTGAGATTGATCCATCCGTTGAATAGAAAAAAATGGATTTTTTTTCAACTAATTATCAAAACAACAGATTTTTTTCTGTGGAAATTACTGTTCTGGAAAAGTATTTCGACCTGTTTTTTGTTTCTGTTTTTCCGTTAATCAGCTGTCGCCCCCATACGAACGACAACTCTCAGAAGTTGTGAAACTTGTGCGAGCTAAGGACTAACGAGGTCTTACCTTTTAACGTGTGATTCCTAACATGGTTCCTATCAAAACTAAACAGCATACGAAACTTCAAATAAAAGCCAGCCCGAACTACTCTTTCAGAGACAGAACTATCAATCTGAAACTGCTCCTAGTGAATGGACATATCATCCAGATAAGGGTATTGAAAAATAATTTTATTTTAAGAAAATACTAGTGAACACAAAACACAATTATTCTTTCATGAATGTCCTTAAAAAGTCTTGATGGCAATATTATATCCATGTCTTTATTGAAGTGTCTCTTCCCTCGTCATTATTTAATCATCTTTAAGGTTCATCTATAGTCTATTTTTCGAGGAGCAGCGGAGTGATGAATCATTTTCAAATGAGTGATTTGATATACAGGGTCAATCAGGAAATGACTACGCTATGAAACTCCAGAGAGTGATTCGTTAGATCGTTTAAAAAAAAAGTCTATGAACTTGCCCGGAGTTGCTTCGTTTCTTCGATACAGGACGTTGAATTAAAAAAAAACAGTGTTTTAAAAATACCTGGAGTATTCCTTATGACATTGCAATTGTCAATTATTCGATTCCTCAAGTCATTCACATCTAGTACAGGAGTTTTATAACCAAGAGCTTTCAGATGACTACAGAAAAAGAAATCTAGAAGATTCATATCAGGACTGCAAGCTGGCCAATTTTGAGGTACTGCACATTCAATCCAGCGATTAGGGTACGTGATGTCGAGATCCTGACGAGCAAGAACATTAAAATTAGCTGAAGCCCCGTCGTGCATGAACCACATGATGCATCTTGCAATTACCGGTACTTCTTCTGACAAAATGTGTGAATGACCTCGCAAAAATCAGTGAAGGATTCACCTGTTAATCTTGCTGGTAGAAAAATGAGCCAAATAGTTAGTCATCAATCATTCTCACTCAAACGTTCAGAGGAAATTGTTTGCTGAAAATTAGTTTCTTTAATAACTTGGGGATTTTCATCAGCCCGAAAATGGTCATTGTGAAAGTTCATAATAGCATCTCGTGAATAATTTGCTTCGTCTGTAAATATAATATTTGGTAAAAAATTATTATTGTGTACCATCATATGAGTCAACCACCTACAAAACATTAACCTAGGATGAAAATCCCGAGGCAGTAGAGGTTTCTTTTTAGAACTATCCAAACGGTTTTTGGGCAGACTTTCAGCTGCAGTGCCATCTTCCTAGTACTATTCGAAGGATCTTCTTCTATCGCAGTTACAGCTGCGATAGAAGAAGATCCTACAGTTCAGGCGTTGTTACAGTTTCTGGTCTTCCAGCACCTGCATTTGCTAATCCATAAACGAATTGCATGTCAGCCATTTCAGCGTTAGTAAAATTATTAATGATAGAATCACTGCTAATTGACAACTCTTACTTTCACTGATATGACAAAACTATCACTGTCAGCTGGTCACCAAAGCAGCTGTTCATGATATTATGCAAAGTGACTTCAATTTTGTGTCTCGAAAGCGAAGCTGGATTTGAAGAAAACACAAGTGACGTGAAAGTTGAATTCTTGAATTTCGATTGATCTAAAAAAATAATACACTACAAAAAGTCAGTAGCGTACACAATATTGCTGGCTGTAGCATGTCTTTTTCGATCTGTTTTTCCATTAATCCGTTTCTGAAAAACCACTTTTAGAAATGCAAACCTATGGCGGCCTAAGGATTAACGAGGTCTTTGAATGTACGGGTTGGACTATTGTTCACATAGCAGTCGCTAGCCTGACCGATATATTTTTGGCAAAGTTTACTGCCTCTCCTTTTGAACAAAGATATACTTAAGACGAGAATATTGGGGAATATTCCCATCCGCTATTGTGACAAAAAATAATATCGATCAGACTGAGCGAGCCATTGAAAGTCGTTTCAAAGAACACGTTGGTTAGGTAGGGTAGGTTAGGTTAGGTTAATCTAACCTAACTTTTCTAGTATTTTCACCTTTCTAATAGGTTTAAAACCACATGGGGCTGACGCCCAGTTCTTCCGCCCGACCCTTACGTTTTATAATGATTAGTCTCCGCCAGGGTCCTCAAATTCTCGTCCTGGATAACTGTAGGGGCTCATCTTCGCGGACGAAATTTCGCAAACCAAAGTCTAACAATGTCTTCATTGACACCATTATTGCCAAATGACTAATCAATTTTTCGGGCTGTTTTGGCAGCGCTTTATTTTCAATTTGTGTTCGTAGAGAAAAATTAACTGAAAATCGCTCAATAGCATCAGCATTAAAACTTGTAAAAAGATACAGCATCATATTTTTGGCTACAACATTCTCTTTCAATCAGTATATTCCACGATATAGTAGAATCACTATGCATTGATATACGGAGCTACAAAACATATGAAATTGGAACGGATAAAACTTTTTAATCAACCTAGTAATATTCCTTTTTGGGTTGGAAATGAGATACTATTAGCAAATCTGCCAAATTTTTTTTTCGATTCCTTGACATAATAGTTATATAAATATTTTGTAGTTAGAAATCGTGCTATATGTAATTTATAATATTTTTTCACAGCAGGTGGATTTAACCTCCCTCTCAGCGTCTTCCGTATGCATCATCAGTTTACTGATGAACTATTTGAAATACCAGACGTCCACGGTAAGCAAAAACAATAATACGGTGGGGAGGTAAATATAGTGACAAAGAAAGGTAAATACCCATTTATATTGAAAATATTTTAATAAGTTTTTACTTACATACTTGACAGAAAAGAGCAAACAAACGAGTAACTTTTCAGAGGAATCAGATGATCGTGAAACCAGTGAAGTTCAGTAGTGTGTTGCAGATCCTTGATGTCTTATACACTCGTGGATACGTCTGGTTATTGTCCTGATAAGGTATCTCATTCCACCCTACTTCTAACTCATTTCTGAGTGCTGCCAAAGTATGTGGGGGCTGCTGTTAATTCAGCAGTCTGCGACCAATAAAATCACACGCATGTTCGATTGGTTGAAGATCGGGCGATCTAGGTGGCCATGGAAAGCTGTTAACGTCATGCTGATCGTGTTGAAATATGGGGCTCTCGAGGGTCTCAAAATATAGAAGGACATATATAATATATGTTTATTTTCTCATACACTGATATAAATTACATGGAGTGATATCGAAAATAAACCAGATTATCACAGAAGCAATAGAAATCTATAGCTTGTTCGTGATGAAACTATGTTGTGAATTGAGTGTATAATCAAACTGATCTTCCTCTTGAAGACGGTTTGATGTTGGAAAAAAACTCCAGTAATACTCAATATAAATGAGTGTTTACCTTTCTTAGTGCCCTTCCTTTTAACTTTTCATTGAAACATGATATCAAGGTCGAATACAATTTACTTGAGAAGGTATTATTTTCAGTACCTTCTTGCAAAAACTAGCATTGTATTACTCGTCGCTCAGATAGCTAGCACTACCAACGTTTTGTTTCAATTAGAAAATAGATAATTACTTATTACAAAATAAATAATGATATTTTGGAAGGTTTTTGGGTTTTGTCGTAGTCTTCTTTGGTAACAATCTCCAAACGTTTCAACTGTAACTGCGGCAGCCATCTTCAGTGGCGTGTTCGACGAATCAACGACAAAGAAGACCACGGCAAAACCCGGCATTCAACCAAAATATTTATATATGAATAATGACAATAATACAGACATTGATAAGTGCTCAGTTATTTGACGGTGAAGTCACTTAATTTTTTTGATAGGTAATAGTACTGACGTTATATGTCAACAGTTTTACTGTTCTACTATTGTATTCCTCTTTCATATTATATTTACCCTCTTTGATGCAAGAATTGAGCTATCAGAAAACTCTTCAGAGATGTTAGATGCCAAATCTCAAACAGCCTGCGATCACTTTCGATGCCATGGGTCGGAAATAGGTCCTAGATATCTGACATTGCTTTACCGAAAATGAAAGCTCTGAATATTTTTTTTGGTCCCTTGGAAGCTGTCTGACTTGTCCATTTAGTCCAAGTCTCCAGAAAACACTGCAGCCTCTTGGGCTTATTGCGTTTATTCTTCCATCTTCTCATGACACCCATTCCATCAGTCTTGTTCCCTGTACTGGTTTGTACAGTCAGGTTCCGTGTTGGATGTTCGTCATATTCTTCTGGACGTAATTTTGTACTTCCATATATTGCATGCCTCCTATGATTCAGTGCCTCACATTCGCATAAGATATGTAGAGCTGTTTCTATCCCTTCGTTGCAAAATCTGCAGCTGAGGTCTCCGTTGTACAGCCCCATTTTATTCAGGACAATGACCGGTTAGTAACCCTGTGATTATTCCGAGCCGATCCCTACTATATTGAAGTAGTTCTTCGGTTCTTTTCTCGGACGGTTCTCTAATGAAGGTTTTACTGTGTTTGTTGCCAGGTACTTTTGTTCAGTACTCTGTGTGCTTCTTACTGGTCCATGTCCTAGTCTGGTTTCGTACCAATGATTTTGGTACCCCCAGAGCTGGTTCAGGACCTATATATGAAGTTGACGATCCGTGTCTAGCGCATTCATCAGCTTTATCATTATCTGTGATTCCCGAATGCACTGGCACCCAGTACAAAGTTAATTTGTTCCTGTTTGCAAGTTTGTTCAGTTCTTCATGGCATTCCCAGAGCAGTTTTGATGTCACCTTCGGGTTTGTCAGAGCCCCTAGTGCTCTCTTGCTGTCTGTTATATTCGCTCATTTCTTTGAGGTCTCAATTGAATAAGCCTTACACACTGCAAGATAGCATACACTTCCGCCTGAGAGCTCTGAATACTAAAATATCCTTTTTCTTTTTCAGGAACAACCAATGAAGAATTTACGGCAATTGTTGTAGCTTTCAACCGGAGAGAAATAAGTTTCATATCAGCCGAATAAACTCTTCCCCCATGATAACTTCCCCTGCATATCAAGACATTGAAGAATTCACATTTTCTGTAGAATAAATAGGTTATCAATAAGGATAAATGACAGTGTTCGACAGTGTTAGTTGGTTCATGAACCACACTTTCACTTCTAATAGGTGATTTATTTTTCTGCAGTGATTTTTTTTAAATAAAAGCTAATCAGAAAATTTATTCACATCGCGTTTTCTTCATTATCACAAATAACTATTCATCACATTAATTTTTTCAACATGCTTTTATTAGCTTCACCTGTATGTATGTATGTATGTTTGTAACTGGTAAGCTCGAGAATTATCGACATTATTGCTTGATCTATTCGCGGGCAGATGGCGCTGTACGTAATCTCCTTTTCATTAACAGACGTCCACAATAATACTAGTATTTTTCGTTCGTTATTGTTTTAAGCTTATTTAGCTTTGAAAGCGTGTTTTTCAGTTTTTTAAACTATATTTATTTTATCCAGTTTGACCAACAGCTCGTGTAGTGTTATCCTCCAAATCTTCAATTGTGGTGAGCTTTTCTCTATGGACACCAAAGATTAAGTTCTGAGGTGTGATACCACATTACTAGACGGGTCCTAAATTTCATCGCAAATGGAATCGCCTTGTTGCCAAATGTCATAAATAACAGGCTTCAATTTTAAACAGTTCATTGTTCTTCACCATAGTGAAGCCATCATTTATAGGTATTTTCCTGCAACCTCAGTTTCGAAGAAATATGGACACCGCCAGCTAATCAACCATATCGAGCCGTTGTTTTTCTGATTGTAATGATAGTTTTTGAACATCGTCAGGTTTCTCTCGAGTCCAAATAATTCAGCTAGAAATGAGAATCAGGGCTGAACATAATTTTAGTCACACATTGTTCACAGAACAGTGATTTTTGTTATACGTATATAAGAGTAATTTGTAGACACTCTGTTTTTGTACAGTGAAATACTGAACAAAAATATCAGAGTGATAAAACGTTTGCTTGGTTTGTCATGAAGTTTCTCTTCTGAAAGAAGTACTCATGAATAAATACCTATATCAAGTTAGTATATTCATTATCGTTTTATACATATGAAATAGTGTACAACTATAAACTGATGAAAGTTACTATTAAAATTTTTACAGAACTTCCTTTAGTAATATTGTTGTGTATGAAGGCTACCATCTTTTTTCATTGTGGCAGAAATTCTTGAAACAGGAATTGAAGTAGAAATTATAATTGTGAATCACTGATTCATACATATCCAAGACATAGATTAAGGCTTATGAGAAATAGTAATAAAATATAGTAAAAATAGAGAAACTGACTGAAATTTTGAGACTGAGAACAATATAATCTGAAAAATATTTTTGTAATATTAGTTTTTGTGCTTGAACATGTTCGTATGTTTAAATTGAAAGGGTTATATTTTTAGGAGTTAATAAATTTTGAAAAAGAATGTTTTTGGGTTTCTACTACTCCATCTTGATACAAAAAAATATGGTAATCTTCCAAAGATGGAGTAGTAGAAAGCCAAAAACTGTCCCAGAAATTGTTTGTATGTATTTTTTCCAAAAATAGAAAGTTAATTTGTGAGATACATTTTATATTATTTTTTCTCACTCAAACAAAAATAATCGGGATTTTATTATTCTGTCAGTTTTAAAGAAAATTCTTCTTTTCTTCAAACCAATTTCTTTATAAGCAGATAATCATCCACGATATAAATCAAAGTTCAAAACGCTCATTTTTTTTATTAGTGCCTCAATTATTCAAACAAGCACTTTTCCAAGTCACCAGAAGTGTCCTCGTTTATTATAGTGGGGGATTAAAACTTCTACAGAAAATCTGAAGATTATAGACCATGAGGCTGGTTATCGATTTTTTTTTCAAATATACATATAACGTCTTGGTATTGATAAAATTGGAAAAATGCCTGAAAAATTGCAAAATTTCCAAAATTACAAAAAAATCCATTCTTCACATTTAATAGGTGTATATCATTACAATAATTACACAGGCAATAAAAAAATGTTTTTGAAAACTTTGTTCACTTTGATTGCTGATTTTTATAGATTTTTATGTGCTGAATCCAAATCTGGTCTTAGTTTTTTTTATATCACCCATAGTTTTTGAGAAATTGACTTTTTTTATATAATTCAAAATCTGTACGGTATATGGTAAAATTAATGAAACACTATGTTAAATCACTATCATGGTTTTTATTTACAGTAGGTTACTTGAAATAATGATACAGTGTTGTAATGTAGGTTCCACTAGTCAGATGGAATTGGTTTATACTTCCTTTCTCTTTTTTTATTGAAGTTTCTTGTGTAGCTTTTCCTGCGATGAGTAGCTTGTTGAGCTTCACGGTGAAGTGACCAACAGTAGCCTCCCATCATGTTGATGTTCCAGCGGCCCTGGTAACGTTTTTTCATCAATTGAATATCTTGGTGAAAACGTTCACCCGACTCCTCACTAACATCTCCCAAATTTTCTGGGAAGTAATCAAGATGACTGTTCAAGAAGTGGACTTTCAGGCTCATAAAACATCCTAGTTTCTTGAAGTTCTAAACATGTTAGCTACAATGGTACGATATTCTGGGTATTTTGCATTTCCTAAGAATGTTGTAACAACTTGCTTGAATGATAGCCATGCTTCTTTCTCATGTATGGTGATTGTGGTTTCAAAGTTTACGTCGAACATCATGTTTCGAATGTCGGGTCATACAAAGACGCCTTCTTAAAGTTTAGCCTCTGAAAAGGAAATTTCTGACAGAGATATTTGAAACAAGGTCCATCTTTAGGCAATGCCTTCACAAACTGCTTCATGAGGCCTAACTTCATATGTAGAGGTGGTAAGAGAATGTTTCTAGAATCTGCAAGGTTTTTGCGGAGAATGTTCTTCTCGCCGAGTTTTAAAAACTCCCTCACATGCCAGTTCTTTCTGCACCAATTTTGATACCTCGCTTTACTGTCCCATTCACACAAAAACATGGAAATTTGGTAAAACCGACTTGCTGACCAAAAAGCATGCACGTTACTTTCAAGTCACCACATATCATCCAATCATGAACCGCAGAGCCAATTTTATTCAACACTATTTCAAGGTTTTCATAGGTCTCTTTCATATGTACAGGATGGCCAACAGGTATAGATGCATAAGTGTTACTATTGTTTAATAAAACAGCTTTTAACAGCTTTTAAACTAGTTTTGGAAGAATCAATAAACAGCTTCCAGTCTTCTTTTTTGTATTCAACACCAAACTCTTTGATCAGACCTGGAATGTCTGAGCAGTACACTAAATCACCTTCTTGTTCAAAACATGTTGAAAACTGCTGCTCTCTCTTTCTATACATGCTAGTTCCAACTGCCAACAGGTGCTTTTCTTTCAGTCTAGAACCAAGCAATTCAGCTTTTTCTTTTGTTAAACCAAGATTCCTAACTGAGTCGTTGAACTCAATCTGAGTAAACAGTTTAGGATCTATATTTGCTGTGGTACATTGAAAATCTTCATCATCTTGCTCATCTTCATCTGACAGTACATCAGAAAACATTAGGTTAGGGTAGCTTATTACCTTCTCGTTTTTCGAGTTATGGCCAGTGATATCAATACTACAAAAGTAGCAATCATCAGTGTGGTTTCTAGGTTCCCTCCACACCATAGGAACAGCGTACTTAAAGGTTTTTTCTCCTTTTTTGACCATTTTCTAAGATCTTCAACACAAACATAACATATCTCATGCGAGGCCCAAGATTTATCCTGATCACCAAGTTTAATTCCAAAATATGAGAGTTAAACCTTTTTCACAATGTCTGTAATGTTTCGTTGATGTATTTTAATAACAAACTCACCACAAATATAACAAAAACTGTCAGCAGAGTTCTTTCAACCGCGATTAAACATTTTAATGAGCACATGTACTGGAAACCAGAAAGTAAAGTTAGGTTGACAGTAAACAAAACATCAGCTGTGAACAGAACAATATAATTTCCTTTTTTCTGGACAGGAAATGTGTTTCAGCAGTGCTGCCAACTCTTTCACATCCAGCACAAATTATTTTACAAATTTATTTTTAATATATAAAAGCTGTTGAATTATGTAATAAATCAAAAAATTCAATAGATTGATGTGCAAATGTGGAAAAATGGTAGGTGATACGGCTTAATGAGTGTCATATTTGGATTTAGCACCCTAAAAAAGTTTTTTCATCGTTAGCCTGTGTTATTTTTATTTATAATTTTTTTTCGTGCCGCACCATGAAAATATTCAAACCACTATGTAAAAGGTTTAGTTATCGAAATAACCAGATAGTGTTCCGTCAAAAAATGTATGTTCAATTAGCATTCTATGGTCAAGTAAAATTGCGAACCCATGGTTTAGATCAGGGGTCTCCAAACTTTGTAGCCTTCGGGCCATAATGATTTTTTCAGTTTGTTCCAAGGGCCAATTTTTGCTCTTAACTATATTTCTAGACTAGGATAGTCGCAAAGTGAGTGACCTAAGCAAACTTTGAGTGCTTCGAAGATAAATTTTGATACTCATTTTCCAGATTTTGATGTCACTGCGAATAAAATTAGGCTTTTTCAAAATCCTTTCGATTATGTTATTGAAACCCTGGCTCCGGAAGTCCAAATGGAAATTATTAATTCACGGTGCAGGGATATGCTTAAGAACAAATATCAAAATTCATCTTTGTTGGAATTTTATAAGAGTCTTCCACTGGAACAATTTGATAATTTGCATAAATTTGCTCGTGGGTTTTTCTGTTTTTGGTACTACTTACTTGTGTGAGAAAACGTTTTCCAAGATGAAGTACACAAAGAATGTTTACAGATCTCAATTAACTGATGAGCATCTCAAATCTCTTTTGATAATTGGTACAAGTAAAATTGATCCACAACTACAAAGTACTGTCGGTGTGATAACTATGAACATTATATTGGGTAACGTAAGTAGTTGGTTTCGTTCATGAGAAATCGATACAGCTATATTAAAATTTGGAAAAAATGTATTTAGGGACCCCACAAGGTTATATACTCGGACCTCTTTTGTCTTGTACATGAAATACTTGCCTAACTTCATCAAAAAAGGTAGGTTCTTCATGTATGCAGAAGTTTCCATGAAATCTGACAATGTAATCAAAATTTTGTACTTCGGTGTACAATCAATTGATTGTTAATTTAAACGAA